TCCCCAATGATTTTGGCTTTTTAAAAAGCTAAAAAACTATTTTTTTTGAAAGCTAAAAAAATTTTTTTTTTTTTTTTTTTTTTTTTTTTTTTAGATTTTGAAGTTAAAATACAATGTGAATTGTTCAGTATTTGGTAGAATTGCCTTTTAAAATGTATGATTTGGGTCAGATCTTCTGGGTGTTCTTCCACAAGCTTCACCCAGTAGTTTGCTGGAAACCTTTCAGGCCTGCCCACACATTTTCTATGAGACTGAGATCAGTGTTTTTGAAGACAACTCCAGAACATTGACTTTGTTGTCCTTAAACCACTTTTTAACACATTGACTCTTAGGAAAACCCATTTCTACCCAAGATTCTTCAGCCAGGATTTAGCTTCTTGGCTAAAGATTTGAGATGTTGCTTCAATATATGCATGTAATGTTCTTTCCCCGTGATGCTGTCTATTTTGTGAAGTGCACCAGTCTCCTTTGCAGCAACTCCCACACTTCACAGCTGGGACGGTTTTCTCAAGCTTTCTCTGTGATGGACACTATGATCAAATACTTCAATTTCAGTTTCATTAAAGCCCAGGACATGTTTCTAACAAATAGGTGCTTTGTCCTTGAGTGCCTTTGCAAAGTGGAGTCTGGCTTTTTTTCTAAGTAATTTGGAGAAATTGCCTCTTTGTTATTAATTTTAGCCCGTATAAGTACACGGCCCATATTACTGGCCATAATGACACTCTCTTACCACCAGGATCTTCAGAAGGTCTTGTGCTTTTCTTTTTTTGGAGGTTGATACACACATTACACACCAACGTATATTAATCTCTGGGACACCAAACTGTCTTCTCCAGTGGTAGGATGCCTGGACATTTCCATTAATGCTAATACTTTCATTTAGTAGTTGAATTATTGAATGTGAAATTGAATTCTTCAGGAGATGCATGATTGGTAGAGCCCATCTGAGTGTTTGTCTACAGTATAAATACAGATGTTCTACGAATGTTTCGAGGTTTTTAGAGATGGAGAACAGACTGCAGAAAGATCAAGGAACATGGGGTCAGGGATAAGACTAATGGAAAAGTTTTGAACGGTAAAACAACATGAGGGATTTAACAACTTAATGCCGTCGGCTGCCTACTGTCGCCACATGCTTGTTCAGTAGCAGGAATTGCTGCAAGGTCACTTACTCAATACTATCCACTGAGTTATTGGTGTAATAATCTGGATGTGACAGTATTGTGAGCTAGGATTGAATTGGAATGTCTGCCATTGACTTTTTATTTGTTCATGTTATTGGAACGATTTGGCTTTATGTTTCTGTATATACTATATAGGCTTGTTTGTATATGTAGTGGTGCCTTGAGATGATATTTGTGGATTAGGTTTGTATAAATGCAATAAACTGAACTGGAACAGTGGCAAGAAGTCATAAAGACAGTCATTAAATCAAGGCATTACTTGAAAATTATAATCACATATGTCAGTCTGAGTAAGCTCAAGCTTTATTGCAAAGAAGAAGGGGTTCAAATTTCAGTTTCCAGATGTACAAAACAGATAGAGGCTGATTGTAAAATGCATATGTTTTCAATGAACAGTGGTTCTAAGAAAAGTTGTGACTACTGGGAGTAAATACAAAGGTATGTCAAAATTTTCTGACTTTTATTCATTAAAAAAACATTTGAAACCATTTCTCATTTTCCTTTCAGCTCACCAACTGAGTAAACTGTCTTCCTTGATTGTAATGTGAAAAATACTTTGTGTGCTTTTCGCTGCATCAGGTGATGTCAGAAAGTTGGACAGCCCCCTCCTTCCATTTCTTCCTTTTCCCACCTCCTGCCCCTCAGAGTTGCCCCTGCCTTGCATTCGTCTCAAAGGCCTAAAACCAGGTCAGAGGTTACAACTAGGCATGCCCGCGGCAGACCCAGACACAGGCGTCCCCGTACCCACCCTGGCAGTGACCATCCACCCACAGACTGGACTAGTTTACCCCCTGGGAAGGCTGCATACCTGCCCACTCTCCCGCCTGCCTCAGCCAATACAAATTGGCTATCCCATGCTGGACTCCAGGACAGGGAACATTGTGCTCACTGTTGGGGTCCATTTAGATCTGGTGACAGGTGAGCATTGCTAGATGTCTGTTATTACTTAAATTACAGATCTTTTGTCATTTGGACTTGCTCTGCTTGTCTTCTAGGAGATGTACAGCCAGTAGGTGGAGCGCTGCTCGGCGAGGTCTTCACCGAACCTCTGAGTGGGCAGATGGTGAGAGTAGGAGGAGTCACCATTAGAGCTGGACAGCTGGTGCCTCATGTAGGAGGATATCAAGCATTATTAGACAGCAAGGTACTTGATTAACTCCAAACTCCAGTAAAAATATGACTTGCTGTGCAATACTTGTCACGATACCAAGACACGAAACGACCAAGCAGTGAGGAAAGTGTTTCGTTTTCCCTCCTCGTTTCCTGGTGAGCTATGTTTTATGAAACATGTGATAAATACATAACACAAGCACAGACTTTGAGAGTAAACCAGCGACTCTAAAGCTGTACGTTTGCAGAGTTGCTTTGCAATAAATTACCTTGAGCGACAGATGTTTTAATTGGTTCAGGTTCTGGCTGAGATGCTTAAAGCACTGGACCTCCTGAAACCGCTAACTGATGACTGGGGTTCAGACCCGACTCTACAAAGTATGCAGAGCCATCCGGGCAACGAGAACATAAGCGGTCGACTGGACGATCTTCTAGCTGCGAGCAAGGAGCTCGAGCAGGCCTGGGAAAGGAGTCTGCACTGTGGGCTGCAGCTGTGGACCCGGTTTGAGATGCTGCTGGACTGGACTCTGCACCTGCAGCAGGACGGTGGGACACTGGGTAAGGAATCCTTGTGGCAAAAAAACAAACACACAAATTTTGGACCATTTTTTCTCTCTGTTCAAGGTGTTGCTTTGCTCTCCGTTGCATATTTAGTTCCTGGCTTATTTTTCAATTGCAAAATGTGAAAAACCCACACAAAGGCAACAAAATACAGACGCCTGACAAGATCAGCCAAAGAAAAGTAGATGAGTGGGGTTTCAAGGGGGGCTCTAAGTATTTAATGAGGGATCGTCCAATATGAGTGTACGTGTCTGTCCTGGGACGGTCTGATAGAAGTGAGGCTGCCGATTTGACCTTTGAAAAGCTTGAAAAACTTTCTGAACTTGTCTCAGTGAAAGTGGAGCAGTCACCTTATCCACCATATTTGTTTTGAAACTGAGACAGAGCTGGCCAATGAGCAGTGAGCACACACGTGCAGACAAAAAGTCTGACATTTAAGAGTCAGAAGCCTAAGAACACACATTTTCTAACCCAAAGTCTTTTCACTTGACCTTTACATATCACAGACAGCTACCCTTTACAGGCCTAAGCATGTGACCAGTTTGTCTCATACGAGCCTAAATTTAACCTTTACACCATTATTTTTCATTTTAATGGGGAAATGCCTAGAAATACCATGGAGAACAAAGAATATCTTTACTTATTCTTTGCTAGATGTGATTTTTAATGTTGATATAAAGTTCTGAAGTTAGCAAGCGTCTCAGAAAACAACAATTTCTTTTTAGTAAGAATCTTGTCCCGCCTTATTTTTACCTGATTTTATATGATCTTTATTTTTCATTAAGTTTATTTAATTTGCTCATCTTTGCGGTATGAATCAGGCGAAATGCCTCTGCTGGCTTCAGATATGTGTCTGCCAGCTCTCCTGGGGATGGAGTATCTTGACCCTATGGGATCCGGTCTGAGTGTTCCTGTGCTTGGGTGCCAGAGGGATCCCATCTCTGGGAGTGCAATTCCTCTGGCAGGAACCATGGAAGACCCTAAAGGAAAAGGCATGTTGATAATAACAAGAACTTGCAATTCTTCATTTTAGAATAATGCAAGATATTTACATCAGCGAGTCAAGCATGTGCTTGCACCCGACAGGCTTGGTGGCAATCCGTTATGGAGCTCAGGCTGTGGATCCAGTGACTGGGCTGTTGGCCCCAGTAGTTGGAGCAAGGCTGGACGTGTGCAGCAAAAACATTGTGCCTATGACGTCTTCATTCTGGCTGATGACGGCGGAGCAAACCGATAGTGTACAAGTAGGTGCACAAATCCCTAAATCAAAAGTTATAATGTAGTAAATGAAGTCACATGGACGATAAGGCAGATAACTGATCTGGATCTTGCTTTTTCTCCTGCTCTGTGTCAGGTGGAGGCGCTGCAGAGGGAAATGTGTGTGAGAAACTCTTACTGGCAGCAGCAGAGGCAGCGTGAGGAGGACGTCCTCATCGATCTGGACTCGGCTTTATGCCACCATCTCTTCAGTGTCACAGATGCAAATTCTCATCAGGTCAGCAGGGGGAGTTTTTATGCTGTTTGTAAGGAATAGTGCTTTCATAGAGGAAGCAAATCAAGACTTTTCAAGCTTTTTGAATGTGTAGAAATAAAAACGGATAAAATAGATTTTTTTAGAACTGTATTCATGTCAAGATTCTAGATGTTGACAGAGAATGCAGAAATGACTAACTGCATCTTTGCTCTTTGAGCTTTACAAGAGGATGTATGTGCATGTGTGTGTGTGTGTGTGTGTATGCTTTATTTGAGCTTGAGCGAATAGTCTGTATATATTCCTGCAGGTCCAGTGGTCAGGGAAGCAGCTGAAGGAGGCAGCTGTCGAGCTGCAGGATGCTGCACAAACTGAGGTCCAGAGAAGAGCAGCTCAGCGCTCGTTCCTGGCTCTGGTCCTGCCGCCACATGCCTTACACATCCTTTCGTGCGGTAACATCACTTCCAAGCATAATGCCACTTTGCAGTGTTTGATTTGCATTGCAGCACAATAAGGTATGAATATTCATGCCTGATTGTAGGCGATGAAGAGGAATGGGACCAGCAGTGTGGTTGGCACTCGGCCCTTATGTCTGGTCTCGATAAGCTGGATGTGTGCATGGATCAGCTGCAACAAGACAATGAGAAGTGGACGTCCCAGCCAGGAGACTGGTCTACAAACCTCCATGCGATGGTAAGAACAATTGTTTCCAGGCTTATTTCTGACATCACGGCGGGGGCCTTTTTTTTTTTTTGGCCTGAAATAATAATTATAAAAAATGCTTCAGCAAGTCTAGGTTTGTTCTCAACAACAGCACTTTTTGATCAAACAATACTAACAATATAAAATCAATGGGTTTTCAGGACAGAGAGCTGAGGCACCGAGAAATATGGGAGCAGTGTTGTTCCACACAGACAGCGGTGGATTCTGCTCTCACGTCGCTCCATTTTGTCAGACTTGTTTCTCGGCTGCGTGCCAACACAGCCCAGGTGAAGACACAGAAGTGCTCATAAGATTTACAAGACATGTTATCGACAACTGGATATATGTTTTTCTTTTAAAAAAAAAAGCTAAATATCGTATGTAACAAATTACATACAGGAGATGGATTAATTGCATCTCTGTAGATGCAATTACTCATCACTGAGGTGCAGCTTCAATTGTTAACTCTTGTAATGTTCCCATTTTTCTGTCTGGCTGTTTATAGGCAGTACTTTGTGGACAGTTTTGGTACAAAGACTATGGCCTGATCCAATGCAGTGAATATAAGCCAAACGTCACCATGATGGCTCTGCTCCAACAGAGGGTCGTACCTCTGCTTGAACGACTGAATGTGATCCTGGAAGAAAAACTTTCAACAAACCTGTTGTCCAATATCTGCAACCAGCAAATCTCCGGTACAGGAGCATCAGCCAACTGCATCATCACGCATCTCACATCCAAACACCAGTGCAGGTCTTTTACACGTGGAACTAAAAGGTTTACAGGTCGTTTACTGTCTACGTCTGTTTTCTGACGTGCCTTAGGCTCGTCGAGAAAGCAGGAGTTTTGCCTGGAGATCCCGTCCAGAGTGTGGACAAGCTCTGTTCCAGTGGTGAAAGGTACGCCCTTTGTTCGCTCTAGTTAGGCCCGAACCTGTTCACGCTCGTTGAAACAACCAAGAGGTTTGTTTCTGCTCAAAAAGGAGACAGGCATTTCTAAAAGGATAAAACTATGTAAAACGAGTATAAATATCCCACAAATTAACAATTTAGAAAAAAAACAAAACTATTTTATTCAAAAATGGTCAGCTGAAAACTTTTATACCTTTCTCAATAACCAAAAATCTTTATTGGGATTACAGCAGTCAGGCCCTTCTCACAATATCCGACCATCAGTCTGTATGTTTCCACTGGTGTAACTTTGTGTTTAAAGTCTTTGACATCATTAAACATTTGTTATTTTTTTTAAATCACTTGTCATTATTTTTGTGATAGGATTAATTCTTTTCAAATCACTTCTGAAATTAATTTTCATGTCAACTTATAGCTATTTTGCACTCTAAATGTTGGAGTCTGCTGCGTAACAACGTCCTTATTCGCAAGTTCAAACTGTTTCACATTGTCGAGAATGTAATTCAGACGGACTTCAGTAGATATGTGTTGCTGTTGGATTCTGATGTGTTCTGAGAACGGACCAGATCAGAGTGTGGAAGGATCTGAAATCAGGAAGTGGAAAAATTCAGTTGGATCAGTTTGCTTTGGAAACAGATGTCAGCAACTTCCAGTAAACTTTATTATCACTCTCTTCCCTCTCATCACTGGGCACCAGGTGTTTCAGTGACGTCCGGCTTTGCCTGTATGCAGCCCAGATGGTTACACTAATAAAAAAAAAAAATCCTGTCCTAATTTAACCAAAGAAAAAGGACGTTGAAAGTCCCAACTTTTAAACACCATTTAGACATCAGTAAAAACTCTCATTTTGAGTTTCATCTGCACTATTTGTGACTAGTTTTCTGCGGATTACAATAATGTTTCCCTCAAAATGAAATATTTTTATAATAATAATTATTATTATTATTATTTTTAATTATTCTATTTACGTTTTGATTTTGAATGTGTTTTCTTCTTGTTGCTCCTTTCGGTCACATTACCAGTCTATCACTTCTGGGTTGAATATGCCATAAGACATAAATGATCTTAGACCAGAGATGGGTAGAGTACCCGGAAACTGCTCTCAGGTAGAACAGCACCTCCTCAACATATTTTCACTCAGTTAAAAAGTAGCTGTCCAAGAAATTAATCAATTATGAATAAAATAGTACGGGTGTGCTGTGGTGACGCAGGAGTTGCGCACAGCTCCTGCGTCACCACATCCAGGCCTTAATCCTGGATGTGGCCGTCGCAGGTTTGATTCCCGGCCTGGCAATCTTTGCCGCATGTCTTTCCCCATCTCTCATTACCCACTTTCCTGTCAATTCACTATCAAATAAAGGCTACTAGAGCCAATAAAACCTAAAAAAAAAAGTATTCCATAAAAAGACTGATTAAGAATCAAATGACTAAACACAACATCTCACTTGATATTTACTATCAGACACAAATATTACAAGTAGGGAATGTGTAGATGTTGGCAAAGTACTTTCAGTGACGATATATAGTGTTTACTATATTGCTTTTATCTCTAAATGGCCCAAATGGTGTTATCTTCTGCTCTGGAACCTGGAACTTATGTTTAAGATAACACTTAAAGTGTGTGCAAGATAACGAAATCTCAGTTAAACCAACTTTAGGTGTGATTCCCCATGAACTGGCATCCAGGCTTTCTCGCTCATGATTGGCGAAGGGCACCAGACACCCAGAATTTAACATTTCTGTCTCTAATTTACAGTGAATCCCTTCATTTGATTCCAGAGTAAATGTCTCCCTTGTGTGTCCAAAGGGAACTCAACCCAGTCACTGAGAGAACCTGTAAATGTTGCTGAATCCCAGGACGGCATCCTCCAGACCTGCTCTCAGCGACAGACTGCGTTGTCTGGCGTTCGCTCGCAGGGTGAGATACGACAGCTGCCCTCATCTAACTCCCCTGTGGAAAATGTTGTGCACTCTGTAGGTAGTTCTTTCTGTAGGTGGTAGATGTTCGTGCATGATGTGTGGTACAGCAAAATGTGGTTAGCCACTGTTAAGTCTGTTCCAGATAGCGGTAGCATACAAACAACTCAGAATTCAGTGAACACTGGTTAGAAGCAGCATGAAACCTTCCTCTCTTTAAGTTTTAGATGCCGAAACAGAAGCGTCTTATTTGTCCTCGTGGTGTGAGTTGTTGATCAACTGAGAAACAACTGAGGGCGGCCGGGGATCTGGGGGGTTGGTTTACTCGGTCGTCGCCGAGTAAACCAGAAAACGCAGAACAGACGACAATCAGTGACAGAACATGAGCAAACACTGAAATAACCAGAACCGCAAACCGAAGGGATTCACAGAAACACAGAGCCCAAAGTGACATAAACAAACTGCAAAATTCATACAAGATGTGGCAAAAATGATGCATTTAATTTCTCAGAAATTAAATGCATCATACTTTACTTACTTATTTAATAAAGTAAGTAAAATATTACTTAAAGCAGACTGTTGTAAGGCTTGAACAACCAGTGGAGGTCATTCAAAACATTGGAACGACTCATTCGAAATAATCTTGAGACATTCCTAAGCCCCTTACAAGACTCAGAGGCCACGAGGTTGTCCTTTCTAAAGGCCTCTTAAAGCTCTTGTAATGTTTCCAATCAATGGTCAGTCTCACTTCAACAGTTAGGATTACTTCAAATTAAATGTCTGGTGTCTAAAAAGGGAAAAACTTCTTTAAAGTAATGAATTTCTCATTAGGTGCACCTGGCTTTACATTTCAGCACTATCAAGTGTAAATAAATGCTGGGTTGTTGTGGCTTATTCCTTACCATTTACAATTTTTCTGATTATGACCTTGGAAATATCTCAGCCCTCGACCATTTTAAGTGACACAAGCTGAAAAGCTTCTTGGCTCTCGTCTCCGACTTTCAAATGGTATTTTCCAGATACTGTTGATACATGGATGGAAGAAAACAGTCAATCCTCACCTCAGTTTCAGCATAAATATGATCTAAAGAGTCATCTGTCACAGATTTAGGGTTATTAAATTTATCTACGCTCAGATTTTTGCTGTTTGTGTTTTTTCTGTCGTGCACGTTCACCTAAACCCAGGAACTATCCACATGACGGTCCTTGTTTCTTTACAGAGAGTCAGCAGACGAAGGACCCTGGTCGGTTTACACACGCAGCCGTCATTACTACTCCAGGTATTCCTTGTAATATAAGTAAGAGTCTCATTAGGACCACATTTTAGTCCGAAACATTACATTTACTAACAGTACATCAAAACACAGGACGCATTTATGGTCTAGACACCTCATGAACTTATTTGTGCCCCTCAGAGGAGCAGTGGAAGAGGCTGGTGGAGGTCTCTCCTCTCTCCCTGTTCTTAAGGGACTTGGAGCTTCGGCTGAAGGCCTGGGCTGGGAAGGCTGGTTTACTTGGACACGAACTTAGCAGTGAGTGCAGAAATTTTCATCCATAAACACTGGAGATGTTTGGTCAAATGTGTAAATACCTTCTGTTTTAGTTGACATCCACTGCAGCATGGAATCAAACTACCATCTGGAGAAATAAAAAAAGAACACAATTTACATAATTTCATTTTGATTAATTTCAGGCAGAGGAAGCGGTTTTGTGGATCTCCTCGATGCCCAGTGGGAATGCGAAGGAGAGCTGATCCCTTTGGACCTTTCAGTCCTAAACCCCAGAGAGTTTCTGGTCTACCAGCATGGATTATTCCTGATTGACACTCTGCATAATCTAAAACTGGTTGGTGCTCAGCTGTCACTCTGACTGGAAACATGAACCTTATAAGCTTTGAAGCACAATTGTTGGTATTTAGCTTTTTCTTTTAATTCAGGCTGTGAGAAAGTCATAGAATATTCCATTTATTAATCATTTTTGTGTATGTCCTTTCAAAGTGCAAATAATGACATGCACTTTTACCTTGTTAGTCTCTATAAAACCTCAGATAAATGAAAACACCTTCGAGTTTTTCTTCCTTTGTTGCAGACTCCAGCTGTTTCACTTCAGATAGCTGTGAGTCTTCCCAGCAACAACTACGTAAACAACGCCTTCAGGAACTCTTTCTTTTATCAGGTAAAGTACTGCTTTATGACGGTGCATATGCCAAGATTTATTTATTTGTGATAGCTTTGCTGCTTCCTGACTGGACCAGCATCATCACTCTAGTTTGAAAAAAAAAAAAAGTCTTAAACTACACAATTTACTACAAATTGTCCCATAGTTTGGAAAAATAAACGGTTGAAATAGAATTCGTTGTGAGCTTTATTTATTACCAAAGTTATCAAAGCCAGGTCTGCTTTATACCAGCACCTTCTTCTCTCGCCTTCAGCAAAATTACATGCAAATGATCACGTAGCTGCAGCGTCTATATTTGAAATCTCTCCAAAATACACGCAGCTCTTTTCAGCTCTCTCTTTCAACCTCAGACTGCATCTCAAAGACTTTCGATTTCCACTCACCCGTCTTGATCTAAAGAGCAGCAGCTCCTAGCTGTAAAACATTTACACAGGTGACACCTGAAAAAAGGTAAACAATCCAGAATTACGTCCAGTTATTGGGGGTTTTTTTGGGAGTGGAGGGGTCACACGATCTACGCTGCTTAAAGTTCAGAGTGAAGTTTACACAGTGTGATGATTCAGTGACCACATGGTGTTACTGAGCTGGACTGGCAGCAAACTCATCTCACCAAATAGTTTTAAGAAAAATAGCCTTATTGCTAATATTTCACAAAACTTGTACTAAAACTGGAAATAAACAACAGCACTTTCACTTGCTCAACTTTTTTCAATTTTTTAGAAATATATATATTTTTTTTTTTCATGAGAACAGAGAGCTGAAGTAATGAGGCCAAACCAAGCAGATTTCTTGTAAATAAAACCTGTGGTGGCGCTGTAACTTTTATTGATCCAGCTTGTGTGTTCTGTGGTTAGTTTCAGAATCGGCTTCAACGTTCAAACTGCTCCAGCGTGCAGCTTACACCACCAAGGACTGCAGGCCTTAAAGTTTTCTGACTGTCATAAAACAGTTAATATTATTCACCGAATCCTTATTTTAAATATAACAAAACACAGTCCACTGAAATTATTGTCAGTAATGGGTCATGCATGTTGCATTTCAGTCCATCTGCAAGATGATTAAGTGATTCATGACCAACTTTATTTTGCATATATGCACAGGAAGCAGAGGAGACGCTCTTTGTCCGCCGTCAGAGGCTGCAGTGTGTCGGTGGTTTCTCTCTGATGCTCCTTCACTGTCTCTCACACATTAAAACCAAAGACATGAGCGCCGACTTTAGTCCGGCCTTCCAGAGACTTTTCTTCAAGGTGACTACAGATCTATAAAATCTGAAGAAATCTATATTACGCTGGTATTTTAATTGCTATATAACTGAAGGTTGAAGCTGTAAGTGCTTTCAAAAGAGCATTTGTTTAATTTTTTTTTGTTCACTTCCTGCCAGACTCTACAGGACTGTTTGCAAGAGCTCTTTCAGGCCCGACTGAGCATCCGTTCTGGACTGGACCCAAGCTTGTGCGTTGGGTTTCAGGAGCAGGGTGACCTAAAGGAGGCGCTGTCAGACCCCCATGCTGTCTCACTGCTTCATAGGCTTCATAAACCAAGCAGAGGACTACTGTCCGAAGATGTAAGAACTGTGAATTCCCTCTCTGTATGAAACTAAAGGCATAATCTGCTTACTGGCAGTCTAAATGTGAATTTAAAGACTTTTAAGTCTGACCAGTTCCTTTTTCCATGTGTTGTGTGTTGGTTGATTTGTGTTTGTCCAAACAGGAGGTAGAGAAAATGCTGGTGAAACACAGAGAAGCATCTCTGTTATCACATCTTGGAGGATTTCTGAGAGAGAGAAGCTCTGAAGCCAAAGAGCCACAGGAGGAGCAGAGTGGCTGAACCAACAACCATCATTATCTAATATACTTGCATAGACCCTGCACTACGTCAAGAGACTGATAAAAGTAAAGATCAACAGATGAGTTCAGATGGAGGCCATATGAACAAAATAAAAGGTTTGATTCCTATCACTATCAGATAATACTCAAAACTTCTGGGTTTTCAGTTTTGTGTAAAGATGACTCTCTCTTTTTCCAAAAATTTAATTTAACAATACATAAATTTATGTCAATGATTGTGTAATTTCCTCACTTTTGTGCAATCAGGAATCTAAGCTTGAAAAAACAACAACAACAAAAACATGTTTGGTTTTGAAAGTCAAGATCCTCAATTCAAGTGAATAAAAAGCAACCAGAACAAAATAAAAATTTGGATCCTGGGCTGCACAGTGGCGCAGTTGGTAGCACTGAGGTAGCAAGAAGGTCCTGGGCTCAAGAAAATCTACAACATACTTCAATAGATTCAGCTAAATAAAAAAAATAGGACAAAACGTCCACAATTTCTTCTTAAAAAGGGCTCATGTATACATTTGGAGTTCAAATAAAAGCTTATAGTATGTCAGTGATAGCAAGCCATTGTTGAATACTGTACATTTCTGAAAGCAAATGCATGAGTCATTTTTTTCCATACGAGCGTTGCTCTATTTAAATCGTCTTAGTTGTGGTTAAAAGCATTTTTTTCTTGCTTCTCTGTAACTCTTGGGGGAAGAAGTGTGAATCAACTCCTCACAGGCTGCAACTATGCAACATTTTTCGTGTTTGTGTATTATTTAGAAGTATATATTATTATTATTACCGTTAATTTACACGCAAAACTGCTGAATGTTGCTGAATGCTTGACAAGATTAAGTACATCTATTTATTTATTAATTTTGTTTCTAGCATGTGGGTTTGGAGTAAAACTTTACAGAACACTCTGCAGTTCTCAGTGAAGAGAACCCGTTTGTACATTTAAATGCTGTAATGATAGGAATGTGTTAAACCAGGTTAATATATATATGTAAGTAATACATTTGGAATATACAAACAGAACAAGTTATTCTTGTTTTACACTGGTATGAAAAAAACTGAGTTGAATTGTAATTCTAACCCTCAATAAATCTGTAAAAAACGGATTCACCTCCTTCACCTCCTTCACCGATATTGCAAAATATGTAAAAATAAATGAATAGAGGGAACTCCACTAATTTATTCCATTGTAATTCTGCTGTTGCCCAGCTTGTGAGTAAAGAAAGTAAGAAGCAGGAGAAGTTTAGTTTCTTGGCTGTTTTTGATACATCCTCCACTTCAGCTGAGTCTCCTGTGGCGTTTTGTTAAAATGAAAGTCTTGATAATGTTTTGGAAATTAATCCTGGCTGGAAGACATTGTTCCACATTAATTTCTTTTAATTTGGCCAAGACGTGCTGCTTCGTAAGGTATTTTTGTTTTGTCAAACAAGTCCTATTCAGGTTATTTGTTCCACTGGCTTGTTAAAAAAAAAAAAAAAAAAAAAAACATGGGCATGTACTCAGGATGGAAATCAGCTTCACAATTTATTCACAATTTATCAGGTTTATTTCCCTTTTAATTAATTTTTTTTTTAAACTCTTTTTTTTGTTCACTCAGATTTTCCCTGTCTTATTACAGTTAGTTTGATTATTTGAAAATAAATAAATAAATAAATAAAATAAAATACAAAAATTAAGTTTGACAACAAAGAAAAAAGAGCACATCTTCAAGAAGGAAAATGCATTTTGGAGGAACTGTGTATATTTATTTATTAGTTGAATCCTGGTTTTATTTCAGCTGACTTTTCCCAATAACCCCATGCTTCAAAGAGAACCTAAAAAACAAAAGTCGCACAACTCGACAGCGTTTCAAGTTTTCTTTATTTGCAACCAGCACCGGACAAAGTTAAACGATGCTGTATTCTGTGTCAACAAATGATTTTACAATTGAGGGTGAAACAATGTACCAAAGAATATTTTTGACAGCATTCAGGTTGACAGATGTAGATAAGATCAGTCATTTATTTTCAACTGCCGGTGGAGGAGGAGAAGAAGAAGAAGATATTTTTGCAGTGACAAATCAGGGATGCTTCTGATTTTGGCTGTAGTGATAGATGACGAATGGGATGAGAATGAGTCCACAGATGAGGGAGAGGATATTCAGGATCATTGCTGTTTTAGATGCGTCCTGAGCTGCGACAGTGTCTCCAGCTTCATTTGCAGATTTTGCCTTAGAATCAACAGTGATCACAATCACTTACATATTCATGGACAGTTGCATCAATGAAGATGAGATCAAAAAAATAATGCTGAAATCTTTGCTATTTGCAACAGTCGTGTCACATTCAGATACAAAATCATTAATGCATTGGCATTCATAAAAACTGTATGACTTATGACTACAATAAAGCAGATGTTCCATCATCTGTGAGAAACGTATAGTATAAAAGATACTACATAAAATGTAAATATTTTTTTTAAAGGTAGAGGTAAAAAAAAAGGACAAATGTTTGAGCGAAATTAATTTTAATACTGTTGAAAGATGACCTACCTTGCGAGAGTAATAAAGTGCACAAGCTCCAAGGGGCCAACAGCAGCATATAATGTTGAAAATAGACCAACCACGGTAGGTTGGGGCAACGCTGGTCTGAGATTCAGGCATGATTGCTTGGCCTTTCAGTGGATTCTGCAGGTTTGGTATATTGGCTTATGTTTTGAACCTGTCATTTGAGGAGGTGGTGCTGCTGGAACAAACATTTTATGCTTTATGGGTGTGGCTAAAAAAGAACAGGAACTTACTTTGGTTATGTGATAAGGAAAAAAAAAAAAACACAGATGTGGAGGAAAGCTTAAGATGGAGCTCTAAAACAGAAACACCCCCTGACAACTTCAATGCCTTTTGGAAAGTAATTTGCAACATTTAGAGCTCTTAAATGATTACAATCCATTTAAAAAGTTTTACTCAGTATCAACATTACTTAACCTTGCTGGGGTTATTTTTTTATTGCCCAGCACCAATAATCAATATTTTACACTTCTTTTAAGCATCTTCAAAACATCTCTGCTAGAAAAGCATATTTTAAATTTAAAAGATACTGTTGTCTGATGGGCTGTCAATACAAAGACTATTTTGCAGGCCTAGCTCAGTGATTAAACTATATTTGAGCTGTAAAATAAGACTCCAATGTAATAAAGAGGTTGACTTGCTACTATAAATAAATATTTAATGCAGAGAAATGAGATTTCAATTGAGAAAAAAAAACTAGGCATAAAAGGTGGTAGCTTCATACCTTTCAATGCATTTTCGTCACAGAGATACATTTTAACTTTAAGAAAAACTATCATCTGAGATCTTGACAATTCATTTTTAAGAAAGCAAATTTAGAAATAGACAGCAGAAAAAAAAGATTTTATAAAATACTGATAAAAATGTCACTACAAAACAAAACATATGACAACTGACTCAGCTTTCCCTCCATAGCTTTAGTCCTAATATTTGTCTAAAACAGTAGCACATATGAATTCCTTACAAAAGTCCAGTTGCTAAAACACGTTAAACAGACTTTTTAGACGGAGAGACAGATACAACCTTGCTTCTGCCAGAAGTTCAACCAGTCCAGCTTCTAATGTCCCACAAACTATATTTTCATCCAGCGCAGTAAAGAAATAGTTAAATGTTCACCTCTTTGTGTTACAATTAGAATTTTCTTTATTTGATAAGAGCTTCACCCCTCAACATGTAGTCAGGACGAAACACTTAAAAAACAGAAAAATACCATAAATAACCTTCCTTACCGACAGTAAATGCACAAGTCTGTGTTTCTCACACATTGTCCTACTTAAGCCCTCTTTGCTGTGGTTAAAGCAATGGCACTCAGTACCTCCTGTGTGCGGAGGTGTGAAATGAATTCTCACAGGTCGCAGAACATGTTTGCCGAAAAACTGAATACATTTTCTGGGCACCGTAATGTGTTAGAAACATTCGATTATTATCTTATTGTCTATGTTACACGGAAAGCTGCTGAATGGCTGATGAGTCGAAGTCTATTTTCTTAACTTTTAACATGTTGCCATGACGGATTGATATGGTAATCAAAGGGTAGGATGGAGTCAAAACAAATCCCAAGATTGCTGGAGAGTGGTGATGGAAAGTGATCTCAAATGTCATCTTTTTAGGCTTTTCTGATAAATCAAATTTCAGAAATTTGAGTGTCCTTTATGCAGGTTCGACGTCATTTGAGTCTCTCAACATTAATGAGTGTTTGTGTCAAAAGCAGAACTTGAGATGATTATCAGTGGTTTTATCTCTTCACTTTTGTATTGTTGTGGGAGTCTTTTAATCTGTTTCAGTCAGCTTTGGATCACCTTCAGACCATGCAAAATCCTGCAGCAAGACTTCTACCAGTAGAGATTCCAATGTTGGCTTCTTTTCCATGGATTTCAATAAATTTGAGAATTAATTTTAAAATTTTAGTCTTCGTTCTTAAAGCCCTACATAAAATAGTCTCAAAAATATTGCTGATATGCTGAAACTCCATTCTTCCCATGCACTAAAGTCAAATGGCCAAAATCAGTTCTGGTATTTCAGGCAGCCTGTGGAAATCTCCTCTGTTGTCCTTACACTGCCCTGAAACTATTGACTCCTTCAAAAGAAGCAGGTGGAGACATTTTTGGTACAGAAAAGCTTCTTACTAATTAACTTGATGTTTTATCGTATGCTGTGTTTGGTCTTTGAAGCAGTTTGTGATTTTAATCTGTGGAAGGTGTTATGTAAAACTCCCTCCCTCCGTACAGAGCAGAACCCTCTGAATTTGAAGGAAGACGAGATCCTGTATTTTGGTTTCTGTTGGGTGCTGCAGCTCTTGCTGGTTCACGTTCAGATCCTGTTGCTGAAACCACAAACTCAATAAACAGTTTCAGTTTGAAGCCGTGGTCTGTTCTGGGCTGCTTGATTTTTCTGTGCAAGTTAAAACCAATTTATTGAAGCTTCGTATGAGTACCGTGTTTGAACAAAAACAACTATTTTATACAATAATTAAAATGCTGTTTTTTTCTGCAGTGAATGTCAAGTGTGAATGTCTGTGTTATGTGAACTTGATTGTCTGCAAGACAACACCAGTTGGTTCCTCTGGTCTGTTTCAGCCAGAACTTATTA